GCCCGAGGTCGTGTGGACTCTCACGCACCCCTACTTTAGAATTTAGAAAACAGTTGACGATTATAACGTGGCAATATACATAATGAAACTGTTAAGAAAAAGAAAAATATTTTTTAACGGTAAGTAAACATCAAGCCATTTGGGGGGAAAATGTAAAAAGTCTACAGCACCGGTCATCAAGGGCCAATCCGCACAAACACAAATAAACACAAAAAAAAAAAGAACTTGAAGAAAACACACAAAAACAATACAATGGTAACCATGCATCATAGGGACGTTCTCCACTAGGGTCCAAATTACCCGCATCCTAATCGGTCTTTGCGTCATGCAGTAACACATTTTGAAGGCAATTATCAAAATTAGTGAAATACGAAAAAGAAAAAAACTACTAAAAGTGGTTTTATTTACGGACTAGTCATTTTTAATAGCCTTTCATATAATAATGTTTCATTGATATTTTTCACCAGAGCCAAAGTTCATTCAAAACCAGGGTATCACTGGCAATCTTTTTTTTAGGCAATATTTTAATGCCTAAGTGGCTTATTTTCTGGGTGGGTTTATTCCAATATTTATTTATTATTTACTGTACGCTTTCCAAACTTATTATTATGCCTATGTACAGCAGTATATTACTGTACTGTATCATAGTACGCATATTACATAGATGAGTACAAAGCAGGCTATTTTAGGTTCTGTTTATAACGACCATTTGTTATGTATGTGCATGTGTGTGGAAAAATAAATGAAACAAACAAACGATCAGGTGACCTCTTTGGAACAGTCACGTGGATCGTAGGGATCGATCATCGGACGGATGTATCCAGAGGGGTCGTGGCCCATTCCCCCAGGCGGTCATCCATCCAAGTACTAAGCGGGCCCGACGTTGCTTAACTTCGGTGATCGGACGAGAACCGGTGTTTTCAACGTAGTATGGCCGTAGACATTGTAGAGTGTATGTTAATCTCGGCATATAGGATAATTATCCAATCAGGAAGCTTCATGATTGATGACGTTTCATAAACCCTCGAGCCGACCCAACGGTAAGGTATAAGAGTGCAATTTCCGGGCCGCACTTAGAGGTCCATGTTCTCAAAATGTTTGCACCTCAGCCCCAACTATGGTGGGCCTGAGGTCGTGTAGACTCTCACCCACTCCTACCGCCAAATCGTGCATCCGCCCCAATAAATAGGCTAGAAATATCGCATAGGTTTTCATTACATTTGTTAAGACACCACACAAACACTGTATTAGTAAAGAAAAAAAAAAGAAAAAGAAGAACATATTTAACGGTAAGTAAACATCAAGCCATTTGGGAGAAAAAATGTAAAAAGTCTACAGCACCCGGTATTCCCAGGCAGGCAATCAAAGACAGCGTCGTACGACGCAGCTCGATGCGGTTCATCGTCGGGAACGGGGACAGTCTTGAACCGTCATGAGAAATATAAACATTCTATGACGCGACTGCCCCCCACGCACACCATCGCGTAACCAGCGATGCTCACTGGTTTGTGCGTGCGCATGCTCGTATCTATCTCATAGAATCTCTTCCACGAATTAGGAAATGAAATTCACACAAACCCGACGCGACAACAAATCACGTCGAGCCGCGTCGTACGACACTGTCCGAGTTGGCCTTAAAGCCGCATTCCCGGAAAAATGTTTGTATGATGTTATAAAGATTTATAAATATAATACGGAATCGCTAGTTTATTACACCGGTTAGTACAGTGTAATAAGGTGTGAAAATGGGCGGTTACGCCCCTTTTTTCTCCAGTTTTTAAATATTAAAAAATCTGTATCTTATTCACCGTTCCCCAATTTTTCGTCAAACAACATTTTTCTGTCTTAGAAAGATCAGTTCTACAACGTATCAAAATTTTTTTTCCTCCGCAGTCTGACTTTAAAGACTACTTTTCTGAACCAGAGTTTTCAACATGTATGGCCGTAGACGTGTGAGCGTTGTTTCCACACAGCATAGAAGATCATGATCATGGAGTTCCATGATTGATGACGTTATATCAGGGAACAGTGAAATTACAATTAATTTCACTGTTCCCTGGTTATATCAATGTTAGGGGTACAATACTTTTCTGGGAAGATTTCCCATGAACCAACTACTCTAATTATTTGAAGTTTTAGAGAGACAATTAAAAAAGATTATATACAGTATCAGGTTCATGAGGCCACGCCTCCGTATAAAACATCACTGATTTTGATAAAATGAAAATCTCGAATCCAACAAATTAAATCCAGTACATTTAATCTGTCATCATGAACTGTCCCTTTTATGAAATGGGTAAAATGGCTCTGGGGAGGGGACGATAGGGGTACCGAACTTAAAAGTTGGAGATTATATTACCTGTATTATTAAATTAAGTTTATACTATTACAGTATTACTAATTAAATCGGCCTATATTTATTATATTTTATTAGTTATTACATTATTAACTTAAGTCTTATTTACGGTAAATGTTAAGAACAAACACTCACGGTAACTCAGGATCTAAATACAGTATTGCAACACAGGGAGCTACACACACCTCCATGCTTGCTAGTCTCCAATCATCTCCCTTATCAAAAGTTGATTCTAAAACAATGTCGACTGTCGCTGACCTACAGTGACTCATGCTCATTTAAGATAAGCAAGTGGCCTGGCCACAGTACCCAAGAGTTACTACAGTTTATTTATTTATTTATTTGAACATACACCTTTGAAACGGTGGCACTCAATATCAATTGGTGCGTTCGTACAAACAAAAAAAAAGGGTAAAATTTAACAAACAAAATAGATAACATCGACTGTATAAAAATTTAGATGAGATCACATTTCATACTCAGAAATACTTTACAGGTCAACAGTAATTTGTAAAGTAAATGCTTAAAATAACTAACCTAAAAATATAAAATCTAAAGATGAAAAAGTCTTACAACAAAAAGATAATACCAAGGTAGACCTACTAAACTTAAGGAATACAGACTACGATGTAGAGTCCACTTGTAGGAAAAAAAAAATTAACATTATACAATTTGATAAGCAACAATACATTTACAGTAAACTAATGTGAATTTTTTAGTTGTGAGCGTTTCTCCCAAGCATCCATGATGTATTTTTTACAGAAATTATCAAAAATAGAGGTAGATTCATCACAAATAAAAACTGAATCTGTATTGTATTTGTTTAATGGTATGTGAAGAATGATCAATCTCAGACACCCACACGTCACATGCGCTAAGCCAATGTCATTATCACTCCTCATGTGGCCTATCATTTTCATTTAACGGCAGAAATAAACAACAGTGCTTTCATATTAAAGTTTATTAGCATTATTTTTTTTTAATGAATATGAAGAAAGAAATCATGAATAAAATATGAAAACAACAAAAATTTAAAGATGGTGGATTAATTAATTATAATAATCACCATAATTTAGATTAATAATACATGTATCTTTAACCGTTCTTAATATTAGCTATTTTAATAGAAAAAATAAAATGCAAATTTGTTAAATTAAAATTGTTTAAAGACACTCATTACGTGCATTATATTTTATATATTAGATGAGACATTTATTATTGGTCCTAAGTTATTACTGTCCAAATCAGCACAAAGTGCAACTTTGTATGTTCTCCGTTGAATATTTCTAGTCTAATATTGTTGTTGCCGGATATGTATTCAAACATCGTAATGATGCTAACCCCATAATATTTGGTATATACATTTCGTATTATCCTAGGTCTTTATATTAATACCCTGCCCACCCCACAAAACGCAAGTGCATTGGTGCCATTTAGTGCATTTGGATTAAATCACATCGAGGTAATTGTATTCTAAATAAAAGCGATCATTATCTAATTAGCTAAGATTAGAAAACGGTCCAGTACCGAAAGCCTATGCATATTGGGGGTCAATAAAAAACTTTGGGTCGCCTCTGTAGATGCCGTGGTCACGTAGAACCTTTGATTTATGCTTATGATCTCGCATCATATCTGTATATATGTCTTGTCTTTCTCTCTTTTCCAAATGTTGAATCATTTCGTTATGCCATTCGCGCTCTTCTTGCAATCGTTGTATTGTCCTGAAAAGTTAGCAAAAATATTGGTATTAGAGGGCGCTATACAGAAAATCGTAATTATCAGGAGCGTTTACACATTATCGGTATGGGATGATTATGCTGTCTGGAATCTTGATTACATTTTATTTTCCATTTAACTGGAATATTCTGTGACCTACTTACCTAATTTCATAATTAGTGTTTTTGTGGATAATTTAAAACAATCAGCAATTTAAATTAAATGCAATTTACAAATATCCCGTGACACCAAAAATAGGTTGGCCCTCATCACATACTCCATTACTGGAATTTCATTTTTCTATCCCCCGGACTTAATCTTCACCACCCTCCCCACATCGATCTGGCAATCAGTGCAACTCACCACGTCAATCATTAATACACGACAAAAAACACACTGAAACATTATCCAGTCAATGGAATTTATTTAAAAATACAAAAGCCATAAATTATACAATAGTGGTTTGGATTTGTAGCGGCAACCATTTGAAATATAAAATTAATAATATTGACGTATGTAAACTGAAGTGTGCTGATAACGAAATATGATATGCTGTAACAATATAAGAGATATGCTATAGTCTCCTATTCATAGTCTTATCCTGGTCCTATCCTGGGTGGTATAAGTACTCAGATATGCTAAAGCTGGATTTTCAATGACCTATGACCTTGTTGGTAGTATCGCACATTACTGTCGGACTTCCTACATACACAAGTGAAAAAAATAACAACTTTAAGATTACAACATAAATGTTATTATTTACGATGTGTAACGCAGTTCAAGTAGATATAGAACGTTTAAAGATGATAGTCTGTGTTATGCAAATCGGAGAAATCACACACGCCAATGTATCATTACATGTTGCCAATGTATAATGTTTAGCTATCGTTTGCACCCGATCTCCGTTTTTTTTTTGTTTTTTTTTAAATCATTAATTTATCCACTAAGCCTAATTTTGTTTAGTTCTTCCTCTTTCTAATTTGTTAATCTCTCATTTATTTCCTTTAGAAACGCATCCTGGTATAATCACTCCACCACACCCCTGCCCGTCCTCTTCCTCAAATACAGTGTTTTCAAACCCTTCCCTTTGATACACGATTAGATATCTTGCTAAATTATAATCAAACTTAATAATTGATCAAATCGGAACAGTGTTATGAGCATGCACTTGTCCAACAATCATCCCACAATCACACAGTGTTGTCGCACAACGCACGCACATTATTTACATACGTTTGTCGTTGCTGGAGTGTTAATCAAACTGAACGACAGACCAATCAGAACATCTCTAATATTCACGCACCTGTCCGTGTGTTCTACAAACGCACCTGGGACCTTAGCAACATTATTCAAGGTCGGAGCGTCACGAGCGGAAAGGTTCATTACTCAAAGTGGATGGGGTTTAACAGAAAGGTTAATTGTGTTTCACACATAGAGATATAATAAGAATACTTGAGCACTAACTGCAATGTATTCGATGTTCGAAATATGCAGAGCTGTGTGTGTGTACTATCCAAGATGGCTGCCATAGATTTAACCAATCAAATTTCGCCTATGCACCATCATTTGCAATTGCGCCCTCAATTTACACAGAAAGTTCAGTACAGCTATTTACCCGTATGTTTGAAACTCGAGCGTTGCGGTGTATGGGTTTAATGTACACGATTTTAATTTTCATTCCTTGGTACTTTATTTTTGAATAAGTTGCTCCACTTTGCCTCGTTTTCCTACGATAGTTTAATAATTTGTTATTACCATTACTCATTAATGAAATAATAGTCAGTCAGAGGGCTTATTTATGGTGATAATATGTATAGTAAGCCTGAAGGTGGCGCTTTACTATGACGGCCATCTTGGATGGTACACATACATAACTCTGCATTGCTTCGCCATCTTGTCAGCACTCTAGTTGTTTAATAGCTTCTATGGCTTCACACAAGAAATACAATGTACATGTGCTTTATTAAGTAAATGAAAGTGTCGATAAGGCATTTGTCGTGTACAAACCTTTCTCTTTCTCTGTAGGATTTCTTTAATACTGCTTTGTCTCCAGATTTGAATTGAAATGAAAGCTCTCGCTTTTGTCGTTCTTCTTGTTGTTTTAATTCGCATGCATTTCTGTGCGCTTCTTCTGCTCTTGCTTTTTCTTGCTGCGCCTAAAAAATAAAATATACAACTTTATTTGGTCATCGTTATAAATTATTGTCAGTTTCATTTGGAATTACTTTCTTCGGTACAGTCACATATTTCTAAACACTGCATCATAAAAACTGTAAAGTAACTTAACTACTAACTTAACTTCGGTAAATAAAAACTAAAAAATATAAACCGATAAATCTTGCGTTAAAAATAAAAAGTACAGTTAGTAATGGACCTTTCCAGAGACGGTTATTTAAATTGACCAATCAGAAAGGCCAGGAGCCTGCGTACATTTACATTGTCAGTTTGTGGGACCCAGCAGCAATATCAAACACGGGGCTTAGTTAGCACTTGGTTAGCAAAACGATTCAATTTAGACATTATTATTTTCTTAAAGATCTCATTTTTCCATGTTCAAGGTATTACAAGGAAATTGTTCATGCATTGTTTATGCTTCATAATTATAGCTCTCTGTCACCATTTTCAATGAATTTCAAATCCCTTGGCGTTGGCTGAGTCTATTTCAATTTCATTTAAGAATTATGTAATTTCTAACTAAAGATCTTTGATTCATTTCTTGGGGTTTTTTTTTCATAATTTTTTTTCTATAAATTTATTCAGGCCTATTCAATTTTAGCATTGTCCTATATTCCGTTATATCATATTGTGCAATTTTCTTTCCTTAGGCTCTAGTTCAATTGGTGTTTTTTCTTGTTTTTCTCTTCATCTTTCTGCCTAGCTGTTTCACTTTATTTTTTGATGACAGTCAAGGCTGAAATTAATGCATTCACAAAAATTATATATCAAAAATATTAGGCCTATATACAAAATCTAAAAAAGAAATATCACATTGAAAATTACTAAACCTAATAAAACATGGTTGATGTTTTTTATTTATTTTTTTTTTTATTTTTTTTATTTTTTTTGTATTTTTATTATTATTATTATTATTTACTAGACCTATGGGAAATGGGTGTCTGAGCCTAATACAATTCCCAATAAAAAAAAAATACAGTTAAACACGATCTAGTCACAGGCCAGGCCTAGACCAAGAATGACTCAAAAGAAAAGGAAAACTAGGCCTAAGCAGCATAATGGCCGATCTAACACCACCTAGTACTGCTGTCTCTCTGATCCAGAAGGTCAGACACTAGTGGTGGATGCATACTTAACTCACCTTCTCTTCTTCCATTCGTTTTATTGCTGCATGCTTTCTATCAATTACACGCTGCCTCCTCAGTGCTTCCCAGTGGTACGCAAGTTCGCTCATTTTTATCTAATCTAATTTTTTTCTGGCCGGGAGATTACTAAAACGTCAACAATAAACGAAGTTTCGTGGTCTGTCTTTAAGATTGATGCACAACAAGTGTGATTTGTTTGCGATTTGCTAAGCCACTGAACTTAATGATTTGTGTACTCGGTGTACTGTAGTTATAGCAACAGAGTAAACGCCAACAACAGGTGGCGCTAAGTCGCCTTTGACCCGTTCGAACCAATCAACTGGAACGAAGATCACATGGGTCGTGGTTTCGCCCTGGATCGACGGTACCACCTGGGGGAGGAGGAGGAGAGGCCTGATACTATAGGACTATTTGTATTTATAGTATTATATGGTAATTATTTTGTTATAATGTTAGGTATAGGGCGCCAAGAAGAGGTCTAGCTCAGACCAATATAAGCAGAGGGAGCCGCTAGTTAATAAGTGTAGGCCTTACATACTTAGTAGCTAGCCTGGGCTCTGCCCTGCTGATGTGGGAGTTCATATGGGCGTCGTAGGCCTAGCCTAGCTAGTTGAGTAATATACTAATAACTCCCTACAGAAAGAGACAATCCCATGCTGTTTTCCGAAGAGTGAAACTGTCTTTCTTCTTTGACATAACACATACACATGACAAGTCAGACAAGTTGCACAGCAATTTTGACTGTTTTGTTGTCAGGAACAACAACAAAACAGCCAAAATTTCATTTTAAATGTCATGACACAATTGTCACATCCAAAAGGCAGTGCGTTTGTGTATGTGGACCTGCATCTAAAACCCAACAAGAAGATTAGCGATGAAATGGACCTTCCACTAAGCTCCACCCCTTGAATTAATTTGTTAAGGTCTCACAAAAGTGTAAGACATAGACAAACACGTGCGTTTGTGAGACAACATGTTCTGGCACTGTTCTGGTTGGTCAATTGAAAAGTATGAAAAGGATCTCCATGTTTCAGTGCACCCACAATAAGTGCAATAAAATAAGCTGCTGCACTCTAGTAGTAAATTGTAAAATCACTCAAAAATTAATTTAACCACCAATAATTAGACAGTATTTCGACAGATACAGAGGGGATATTTTTATGCAAAGCAACTATTAAAAATATCAGTACTCGTATCCCTAATATGGTGATTACTTATTTTTATTTTTTTATTTCATAAAGGATAATTTGAAAGTATGGGTAGCATAATTGGAGGGGCGATATTGATTGGCATTGTGGCATTCATTGTCGCTAACCTAGACTTCTGGATACCACCAGTAGATCTGGAAGCAGATGAAACCTACCTCTCCACAGGTGTTCTGGAAGTCATCGGTGAAACAAAATTGGATACCCTAACTTTCCTAGAACCAAAGAGGAAGCAGTTTAAGGCCAAAGATTTGTGGAAAGATTCTGGGGCTGTTGTAATGGTTGTTAGGCGGCCTGGATGATCTTTGTGCAAGGAGGTTAGACAAATTATGATTTATTTTTCAACCATATTATTTATGTGGAGAGAAACTGTGGGTAGTCCTTGAATAAATGCAGCATGGTTTATGAAAAACTATTAATAACAATTCAAAAAACTTAGGTGAAATGGGAAGGAGGTTTTTTGCTCAATGTAAATCCTCAAATTGTGGCTTAATCTTGAGAAGAAGCTTATCTGAAATTGAAGCCCCCTCTTTAGTTTGCAAAATTAGCCTTGAAAAGAAGTCAATTGCAAAAAAGAAGCCCATGGGCAAAATACTGTAGTACAGTACATACACTGTACATGAATTTCAATAACAAAATAAACAATTTAATGGTTTGTACAGACTGATGTTTACTTTGCAAAAAATAGCCTTGAAAAGAAGCACATCCAAAGGTTGCATAAAAAAGAAGCACAGGGCTTCTATTTGAGGTTTTACATTATGTATAGCTGTGTATCTGATTTTTAAAATGGGGACCGAAATTTGTCAATTGCGTGTGTGTAACGGCACAGTCCTAGAAACCTGCAATGCCAATGTGTGGCTGTATAAATAATCGCATTTTACAATAGTCGATAATGCTACCCAGCTGAGCCCTCCAGCTAAAATGCAAGGAGAGCAGCGGATGGAAATGAACTGGGGACCAAAAATGTAATGATCTCCACTGTTCAGCGCAATACATTGGCTGCCACAAGTTTAGCCAACTGAGCTAAGCTGCTCTGAAATTAATCTAGCCTTTGATATTGTTGCTCTTTTACAGGAGGCTCTTGAGCTGTCCTCCCTCAAACCAGAGCTGGATGCTCTTGGTGTACCCTTGTATGCTGTGGTGCATGAGACACTAGGCTACAGAGATTTTATACCATTCATAAAGGGTGAAATCTTTTTAGACAGACAGGTAAGCATTGTATTCCCAGCCAAGCCTCACTAAAGGGAGGGAATTATATAAGTGGATGAAGGGTCACATTTCTCCCAAATGGTTCACACCGACCTTAATCATTGAAATCTTCCTGAGCAAAAGAATTACTGTACACTGAAGTCAAGGCCGTAGCCAGAATTTGTAAAGGGGGGTTCGATATTTTCAGAAAACAGCAAATTTTAGTAATTGTAGATTATGAAAAATGGTTGTTGGGGAAATATGCATGCAAAATCAAAATTTGACAAACAAAAACAAAAAAAAAACAACATTATACCATATTAGACTCATTCTTATCAATATTGGATTTTTTATGGTAAATTTACAATTTTCTTATAGTCCAGCTGCCTTTTTTTTTCATTTATTCTAGGGCTTTTCACCAATGACAGTTGTTACAAATACTAATTTTCATGACCTCCAATGTCAGTACGGCTCTATATTGGAGGGGGTAGTGCTGTTTTTTAATTTTTACTAATAGTTATTTTCTATTGTAGAAACATTTCTATGGGCCAAATCCTGAGCAGAGAAAGATGTATTTTGGGGGTCTGTTACGCATCAGCGCCTACACATCAGGTTGGAGATCCTACCAAAAGGGTGTCCCTCTCAATCTTAAAGGTATGTTTTTGGTGTAGATTTTCTATTTTGTTTACTTGTATTGTTACTTGACATTAATGGTTAGAAAATAATTTAAATACTAATCAGCTAAAATACTACCTGGTATTTCATTAACGAATGTTTGATTTGTGGTAAAGTATTGCGTGTTTATTGATGTTTTTGTTTCATTAGGTGATGGATGGACTCTAGGGGGTGTGTTTGTAATAGGATCTGGAAACCAGGGAGTGTTGCTGGATCACCGAGATAAAGATTTTGGTGATTTTTCAAATAAAACTCAAGTTTTAGAAGCAGCAAAGAAAATTATTACAACTAAGAAAGGTGCATAAACTACAAGCTAAAAATACCAAAAATGTTGCAATCTTGTTGTAAATCACATTATATAATTTATATAAAGTTTTATTTAAATCAACACCTTAATATAAATTCATTACTTAAAAATAATAATTTAATTACTGTAAATTAATTATTAAATCATATGCAGTATTGCTGTAAGTTATGTAATACCACCATGGAGGAATTTGTTAGTATGGTAATGCCATTGAAATATTGTTTGATTTAGATAAAATTCAACTTACAGATTGTTAAATAATGTATTGTTAAATAATGAATGTAAAATTAGATCGACTTAGAAATTATTGGACTTAAAAATTAAAAAATTAAAATAAGATATAAGTAAGATTATATTATTTGGTACAGAAAATCATGTTTGTATTGTCAGCAAAAATATTGAATGGATTAATGATGTGGTAAGCTTAAACACTAGAGGCTTAGCATGGATAGCAGTCTTGTATCATTTTTGCCGAGAGTACTTACAATTTTGATGTCAAAATAAAATATTAAAAGTAGAATTTGTAGATTATTTTTTCTGATTTTATGACCAAGTAGTTTTTTTTTAGTTTTTTTTTTTTTACTAATTCATGGAGATCAAATGATACAGTATTTTGAATTGTTTTTATTTCTTTTGGAACAACACATTTCACAGATTGTCAATTAGATTACAGTACACCAGTGGTGATGCCAGGATTTTCCTTATACGGGATGGGGTGGGCTAAGCTGTCTAAAGGGGGTTGTAAGCCTGCAATGGTGTGACAATTTCCAACAACTACCTGGTGGGGTTAAAATTATCCATGACACCTAAAAAAAACTAGTTATACAGTAATATAACAGCTACAGTATATAAAATATAGCTAAACTGTTTCAATTAGTGGACTCGTACAAAACATACTACAAAATAGCAAACAAAACTACAGTCATCTTGATTTAGAGTATTTTATTTACATTAATGCTTCAGTAAAAAAAATGTTTATTAAACGATTATAACCTTTTTAAGTGAGCTGCTTCAGTGGATCCATTTTATAGCATACTTGCTGTGTTTGTTTAGTGTCACACATGGGATTATACAATATTACAGAGCACCAGATAAGATTAGAATTTTTGCTCAGAAACTTCAATTTTCAATTTTTTTTTTTCCTATATCTCCTTGAGAAGTTGCAGTAGTTACCCTATAACTGCCTCAATCCTCTTGAATTCGGAATAGACCCTTCATTTTCCTGCCACTTTTTAAACTTTTTTTTTTGGTATTCAAATATTTTATGGCATTAGCTTGTCTTTTTCAGCTAATGAACATTCACAGTACTGCAATTGTTTTTTAACTACACTGTCCATTACATTTGACCTTTGACCTGGGGTCCTGGCAAACTGCTTAACTTACTGAACTTTTTCAACCTGTGACTTCTGCTATATAGATAGCAATACTTCATATGCAGAAAAATAATCACTTGACAATGATAAATAAAGTTGGCTATGAAGCTTATGCAATAGAAGGACATCACTACCACAGGCAGGAAATAGTGTTCTAGATGGTAAATATAAATCATGATACAGTATTCCTCATTGCACCATTTGATTGTCAGCTAGTGCCGCTGTCCAGTCAGGGGCGTGTAGTTGGATTTTCTCGATGACATCATTCACTTGGCCACATAGACTTTGAATTTGCTTATCCCACTGGGGGAGGGCATCCCGTGCTGTGAAGAAAAGAATGCCTAATTGATTAGCAAAAATACAAAGCATATAAAAGCAAAATGTACCGTAGCTAATATACTGTACTTTTAGAGTTAGTAATTCTTGAAAGATTGAAATACTTTTTTTTTTAATTACTGTGTAACTAAAAAACTTTTAATCAAATGTGTAGTTTTAAATAATATTCAAACAAGCTTTAGTAAATTACCGGTATACAGTTGAACTTGCCTAAGTCGAATCCAAAATGCCATTGAAAAATTGTTCGACTTTGATAAGATCCACTTACAGATTGTTAATTAATGGAGAAAACAACAATTTGGCATATAAAATTAGATCGACTTAGAAATTATTCAACATAGGCAAAGTCGATTTAGGCAAGTTTAACTGTATTTGACAATACAAAATTACATTTTTATAGACATGATTTAGAAGTAGTCTTCAAACTTGGATTTCACTAAACAAGGTATAAAAAAAGTCTCCCCTAAAGCTACATTTACACTAGACATGACATATCATCACTGAGCGCATTTGTATCGTGTCGTTATTGTGTCTAGTGTAAACGTAGCTTTAAAATGATTAAATGTATTTATTGACAAACAATAGCATTTGCTGATTGTCTGTACCTGCTTCAGAAGACTCAGTAAAATAGTTTAATTCCAATTTTAAAAAACTAGTTTTTTCCTAATCATTAATCATCCAATAATAGAAAAAACTTACTTTCAAAATGGACAATGCTATCTATCTGGTCAATGTAGCCAGACATCCTGCCTTCAGATATCATCTGCGATGCAATTTTCTCAGCCTGACAAAAAGTAAGACAAGCAATAATTTTTGAGCCAATGTGAAATGTTTTAAGGCAGTGGAGAAAATTAAATTCAGAATTACAACCCCGAAAAAATCAAACTTGCCCTAGGAGGTGGAAATCAGAATTATAGACCCTGGAAAAAAAATTCTGAATTTGACTCCTGGGGAAAATCTAAAATTATACAGTAGATCAAGCAGTCAAAACTGTAAGCCTCAAAATCCTATTTTGGTAACATTTTACTTATAATTTCTTTATAATTATTATTTATTTGTTTCACCTAGTTTATGTTGAGGTCATTTTGTTATAATCAAATGGGATACAGTATTTTTGCATTTGAAATCTCCAACACCCAGCATTTTTTTGTGCATGAAGACCAAATTCATACAACTTTTAATAATAACAGAATAGAGTTCATAAAGCCAAAATACACTGCATATAAAATCACCTTAATTGGTGGTATTTCCAGCAAAGATCCAAGTTCTTCAAAGGTAATGTTATTATACAGTTTACTGGCTGATAGTAAGTTGTGTTCAATTATTGCACGGTCTAGGATGCTGGATCCTGCAAAAAAAGTGGCAGACATTTATAGAAATTTATGTGAAGATATACCATCTATAATGAGTTATAAATTTTAAGATTTGATTATCTTTGTATATTTAAAGCTTGGTTTCCATACAATCGCTACACTGTCGCTACCATGTTTCAGTGCAATTGTTGTACTGTGTAAGGCTCCCCGATTCAACCGACCGATCCACATCACCGAAAGCTGTCGGCAATAGCGTGTAGCGATTGTACAAAAACCTAGCTTAAGTGAAAGTTAGATATAAGTGAAAAATATGAGAAAAAAATTTCTCACCAATTATGAATAACACAGTTTCTCCTTTGCACAGACCCTGGTAGTAGTCTTTTGAATAATTTTCTTTTTTATTTAGTTGGGTTTTTTGTTCTAAAGTCAAGGCAAACAGGGGATCGGTTTCTCCGATGGGGACTTCTAGTCCCCTATCCCCTTTCCCCATTGGTACCCCCACTGACGAGCTTCAGCTCCAATTACTGTTCGGAATGAGGCAACTTACTCACCATCTGCTGTTGTGGCTTTCTGATGCTCAGCCAGTGATGCTGCAAATTCCTTCAACTGATCACCACGGATTATTCTCTCCAGATACATCTTCTCTAAGATGCCGTATGCCGGCAACTTCTGGCAGCGCTCATCTTTAAACAAGGTGGCCAGCATTCTTGATCTTTGTTGCCCTGGAAACAACAAACAATATTTATTTGTCTGTGGGCTACTCATGAGTAGATTTCTAGCATGATTAAAAAAATCGTAAGGTGCTGGGTTTGGTCTAAAGGAGTTCGTGCTTCTATCAGGTCAATCCATTCTTAGAAGAAGCCTTTTGATGGAGAAAGTGTACCTCAAGTTTCTTGGAGTGCAACAAAATAAATCAAAAGTACATAATTGTTTTGTGTTTGAAAATGTTTCAATCAAGCTACATGAATTTAAGACTTGAAGGAACCAAATTTGATACTAACTGGATTAACCAAAAAGAAGAAATATTCTTAATGTCAAATCATTATACATTGACCAAATGTCAAGGCATCCATGGACCAAGAGAGTTAATCAAAGTTCACTGTAACTCAAGAGAATCGGCTTCCCCCTCATAAATTAGGAGTGTATGTAAAGGATGAAAGATATGGAGATGGGGAGGAAGAAGAAGAGTAGGATGAGATGAAGTGCTTCTTACCTGCTGAAGCCAGAATAGCACAATGTAACGCATGTTTTAACGCTGTCATTCTTTCTTCTGTTGCAATGATAGTCTTGTAGGACAGCTCGTTGTACCTCTGTGCAGCTTCAATGAACTTCCGCCTATAGTCTAAAACCCTGGCATAGCATACCTACAAATACATTAATTCAATAAAATATTTCAATCAAAATAAATAAGCTCAAATTATACTTTACTTAGTTTATTTCAACAAAACATCATCTTGATGTGCTGAGGATTATGCAGGTGGTGATGAATATGCAGATAGTATTTATGCAGGTAGTGATGAATATGCAGGTGGTGATGAATATGCAAGTGGTAATTATTCAGGTGGTGATGAATATGCAGGTAGTGCTGATGACTATTCTGGTGGGGATAAATATGCAAGTGGTAATTATTCAGGTGGTGATGAATATGCAGGTTGTGATGAATATGCAGGTAATGATGAATATGCAGGTAATGATGAATATGCAGGTGGTAATGATTATTCTGGTGGTGATGAATATGCAAGTGGTAATTATTCTGGTGGTGATGAATATGCAGGTAGTTAGGAATATGCAGGTGGTGAAGAATATGCAGGTGGTATTGATTATTCTGATGGGGATGAATATGCAAGTTGCAATTATTCAGGTGGTGATGAGTATGCAGGTAGTAATTAATATGCAGGTAGTAATGAATATGCAGGTAATGATGAATATGCAGGTAGTAATGATTATTGTGGTGGGGATGAATATGCAAGAAGTGGTAATTATTCAGATACTGATGAATATGCAGGTGGTAATGAATATGCAGGTGGTGATAAATATGCAAGTTAATGATTATTCTGGTGGCGATGAATATGCAAGCGGTACTTATTCAAGTTGTGACGAATATGCAGATGGTAATGAATATGCAAGAGGTGATATGGTAATGAATATGCAAGAGGTGATGTGGTGAGGAATATGCAAATTGTGATAAATATGCAGATTGTGATGAATATGCAAGTGGTGATGATTATGCAGGTGGTAATAATTATTCACATGGGGATGATTACATAAGTGGCATGATTACATGTTTTTTTTTTTAATTGTTATAAAAAAATAATATATCATTACCTTATAATGAATATGAAGCTGCTCATTTTTGGATTCGGCTTGAAGCAAGGACGCCCGCTTGATGTATGCTTCGGCTTGTACAGGATCATCGTCTTCCAGGTAAAGCCTAGCAATCTTCAAGTATGTTTCCAGCTTGTAGTCTACAGAGTACTGCCTGAGATGAAAAAATATACTACAATCTTAACAATTTTCATTAGTACTCTATAGCCATTTTAGTCAGTTAACATAACAATCACTTATTCAGGCATAATTATTCATGATCTAAATGAATATTTAAAAAGCAAAAGATACAAAGAAATGTTTTCGACTAAAATGTTAAGATGTAAAGCGCTGTGATACCCAAATGAATGAGTTGTATATAAGTGCCAAGACTATTAACAAAATTAGACAACATTATTGTCTATAATTACAATTAATTACATAGACTAGAAATCTGATTTTGATACATAATATCACCACCAACTTAAAATAAAGAAAACAAAGGATAGAAAGATTGCAAGAAAATAACATAAATCTATCAAAGTGTTTAATCAATTACAGTAGAACCTCGATTTTACGTACGGTAGGGGACCGGAGGGCATACGTAAATCGGGGGATTCGTAAAATAGAGGTTGGGTTAAATTTGTGGTAACCTTTGACCTAATACATACGTAACGCTCAATATACGTATGTATGAACGAACAATGTTACCTAGCTAGACTAGACCTAGCCTCTAGGCCTACGAATAAAACCATGTGTTTAGTGTTTTTATTCATCACTTTACGATGTCATAATAAAGTGTTGAAATAAAACCATGTGTCTAGTGTATTAATTCATCCCATTATGTCTTTTATTTAACAAAAGAACATGAAAATAGTGTAAGATTACCTAACGACAAAGGTATAACTTGGGAATTCCCCTTCATGCCTAGTCTAAACAACAGAGCTGTGGTGTTGTCTGGGCCTGTTAAAACAAACTAAACCCATATGCACTGGGCGAGCCAACCAATTAGCGTTCGTGTACGAAACTATGCCTACTCAGCTTCGTGTAGAAAATTAGACCAGACAAGTTTTTCCATGGTTTGCCACACGAAGCTAAGGAGGAAAGCAATTATTTTGAGCACCATCGGTAGTTGTTCATCTCACTCAGTTCACTTGGTTTTAGATTATAACAACCGGCCGGTTTTAGACTCAATCAACGTTGCTGTTTAATGAAAATACGTTGCATTATGGTTTGTATTGTTATAGTTTATTGTTATAGTCTTTTTAATTATGGTTGCTCTGAAAAGGGCCGTTTGTTTTGAATATTTTCGGAGTTTTTGATGACGTCATCGTCGATACGAGGGGTACGTAAAACCGAGGGTTCGTATAACTGGGGTACATAAAAACGAGGTTCTACTGTATTTGAAATGCTATTGCATTGTTAAAAACTTAGATTAGAAATAAAGAATATTTTTGTACATAAATTACCTTTGACCTGTTTCTAATGGAATTCCAACAAGTACATTTGCGGCCATCCTCCATTTTGATTCCCTTTCGTAAATGTTTGCCAAATGCTGCCTGGTAGTAGCAACCTGAGAAATATGAAACATAACCAACATTTGATCCTATGAACATGGAGATGCTAGATAAAAAAAATCAAAAGGTGGGACCTGAAACATGTTTATAACTTGTTTATACTTTTCTTTTTATTTATCTATTCATTATTTTTGTTTTATTAATTGGTGATGACAATTTTAATGAAAATTACCTGCTCTTCAAATGACACCACTCTGGGATGAACTTTCTCTAGAAGGAAGTTTGACACTTGACATGAAAGAGGGTCTGGCAAAGAGGCTAGGTGGGCACAAATTTCTGTGAGCAACTGTCTGGAGATCACTAAACTAACATTTTCATTTACCACTGAAAGTTAGACATCATAGAAAATTACAAAATACAATGTACATAAGAAAATGATCCTTAATACTATCTACAGTATTCACCACAAAATGAGGAGCAACCATATAATAATATGATATGGTTGCTCCTCATTTTGTGATGGAACATATTATGTTCTTACTTGTTTCTATAAATGCTTGGAAACCATCGGTGAGATCATTGTCTGTCAGAGACTGTATATACACCAAAACCTTACGATATCTGCAGAAAAAAAAACAAGTAATTCAATTCAAACTTTATAGTATATCACAGAAACATAAATCACTGCCTACACATACAAATAAAGTATACATGTGAAAAATACAGTAGGCCTATATATGGGGCCTATGGGATTTCACCCGAAAATTGAAACTTTACATAAATTCATAGGATAAATACTACTACAATACACTGCAGTACTATACTATATTACATATTACATGTATTGTCAAAAATAAATTTTGAAATTTACTTAACATAAACATAAATTCTAAACTTGAACATAAAAATTAGATTATATAAAAAGTGTTCACCCATTATTTTACCACAATAAATTATTTTAAAATAATATTTTTAAAGAAAACATTGTACATGTTTAGAAATTTTAATTTAAATTTTCATTAATTTTTTGAATATATAAATATCAGAGTAAACAGTTTTAAATTCAAAATGTATAGGATTTCAGTCTGTATGAGACTATGTTTTTTTTTCCTGGTTGAAATTTTAATTAACAATAAAAGGTCTGACTTTGTGACCAACAACCACCTCCTACTGCCTTGAACTGAATTGACTTTCCATTTCATATTTGTTTAATAAAAGATATAAACACTCAACAACTAGGCCTGACCTAGTCTCAAAGGTGCTACATTTTGCTGTCTTCTAGAAAAGTAGGCCTACTGTAGGTTCACTCCCGCACGTGTCAAAAATTTGGGGAATATTGATGCGGGAATAAAAAAAAAAATTTCTGTGGCATCATTTGACATGTATTTCAATTCAACAGCATAAAAAACAATGTAATTTTGTGACTGGAAATACATTTTGTTTAAAAAAACATTAAATTAAACCATTTTTTATACAATATTTACCTTACAATATTCTTGCCAAAGAGAAACGATCCCTCCCTCATCGATAAAAAAAAAACAATATTATATTGTTCCAATAAAAAAATTTAAAAAACCATTAAAAAAAAAAAAGAGTGACATCTAATAATTTTTTCTATGTGCCCTAAATACAGATGAAACATCATGACTATGCATAGGCCTAGTCCTACGTTAATGCACTTCAGAAAGGTAAGTACGATATACCACTGTACTGACACTGACAGTGGGAAATTGTTTGTACTAGGACCTAGGGCCAGGCCTAGTCTTTAGTACAATAGGTCAAATAGCCCAATAGTCCGTAGCATGAAAAAAATAGGCCTAGGACTAGGTAGGTCTAGCCTACCTTCTTGCTAGGCCTAGCGCATTTAGATACTGAATCCTGGTCAACAAAAACAAAAATAACCATTTTTATATAATAAAAAGATAGTAGGGCCTATGCTAAATATCACATTTGGAAATTACTTGTCTGCCAGGTCTTTTGGTGATCCAGAAGAAGACAGTAAGGTGGAAAGTTGTTGCCGTGCGGACGCAGCCATTTTGAAGAAAGTAAATTCCAAAAGGAAAATTGTCAGACAAATTTATTAATAGTTTTATCAATTAAAACAATATATAAAAATAGAAATCATAAAAAATAATTATTTAAAAAGCTAATATAATGTATTTTCTATTTCTACGATGTTTTTTTATAATATATAACAGTTACTTTCAAGCCTAATTTTTTTTTAGTGGCATAGCTTTCATTATGGGATAGTAATGGTGGGCGCGTGATTTTGAACAAATTTCACTAAATCAACTGCCCGAAACTCCCTTCCTAAGAACGATTTTTGATGATCTATACTTTAGGTGAGACCTGCAGCTCTTTAAGTATTTATATGTTATGTATTTAAGCATTTTATTCCATTGATAAATGTCAAAATATGTGTGAAACCTAGGCCCGACATAAGGAACCCTCCCGATCACGGATGTTGTCAATACACTTCGTGTCGCATTGTCACTGTGCAGCTAGGCTAGCCCCTGGTAATACATTTAGTATGATAATAGCTAAGGCTTAGCTTAGCATAAGTCAATAAATCTAGATTAAATTGTATTACACAATAAACCCAATGATATCAGAAGAATTTATATCTGGGCCTAGTAGGCCTACCATGTACGCTTTTAATTTATTCATCCAAGCAAGGTGGTGGTAGACAGAAATTCTTTTCTACAATAGTACAAGTTTACAAGCAGGGGTAGAAAAAAAGAATCACGCAGGTCTGCATGGCCCTGTCTGGGGGAAGGTAGGCCTATAAATGTTCAACAAGGTGTCAGGGTTGCCTAGGCTAGCGGCTAGGCCTGGTTAGGTTAGTAGATAGGCGAGTGACCTTGTCTTGATGTTGACGTCATTTTTTCACCCTTCCTAAGCCTATACATGCCAGACTGTATAGTAAGGCCTGCGCAGGGAATGATTATATCCTCCTTATACTTGTCAATATGCAAAACAAACTTCTTTTTCGTGCAGGCGATATCTATGATTTATCTTGTAGCTTACGAAGAAATACCGCAGCAGGCCGACTTAACGGCACGGAGCTTCACGCAACCCACGTGCTGTGTATCGATTAAAAAATACTCCGGCAGGGAAACCAAGGGTTCACAGTTTCTAAAAAGAAGAGCATGTTGATTGGCTGAAGACACGGCACTTGGACTTTTTTTTGTGTATACAAAACAAGCGTACTATGCCTACATTGAAATTTATGCAATAAATAATAAAGTTAAACAGAAAACTTGGGTGTAAGCAGGGTAGTATAATTTTGTATACCTCCCTGGTGTATGTAAGTGTCTTATTTTGTGAGGGAAAAATAAGTATAAGTATAAGTATAATATGTATATCAGGGAGGTATAAAAATAGAAACATTTCCCTGTATATATATTCTTTACCAGCCCTCCTGCACTAAATTGCCCAGGCAACCAAAATGGGAGGCCTTGACGGAAATTGTTGATGGACAGATTATCTGTCATCTTTTAACCATTTTTTTAAAGGAAGCACAATATAGCACACTAATATTAACATTAATGCTATCTACTTTTATATTACTTTACAATAATGCAGAAAAAATCCGCCGGAATAATCTCAATTTTCCTGAAAAACGAAAAAATTAAACCCGGAAGTATATGAATATTCAGTATTGACTTCCTATTTGCATCGCTTGTGATGATGCTCTAGAAGCCTGGACAAAGGACGATCTTGTTGAAGTTGTCTCAAAATTTAGCGCTCTTTTAGAATATGATCGTTAACCGATAGAGGGTGGGCTGCTAAGGTTATGGGTTCTGACGATCTTAAGTAAACAAACAAAGGTTGTTCAAAGACGGCGGTGTTTTTGCTCTCCTTGCCTTATAAGGACTAATGGACAGATGGTCTTTAGATAATTATTTCGAGCTCTCTCCTCTTATTTTTATACCTCCCTGGTCAATGAGTCAAGGATAGATCATTACTAAAAATATTACAAAAAAATAAATTTTTTTTAAAGATGCATTGTCCTCTGAAATTGACAAAAAAAACCATTTAAAAAATAATTTTTAAATTACTCATATTGCAGTAGCATACAATTTATTACCTTGAGCATACAAATTTTCGTACCTTGATTTTTATACTTGATATTAAAATGATAATAAAAATATCCAGTGACTGGAAGTGTTTCCATCCTTTTTCACTGTAAAATTATGGGTAAATATTTTTTGAATACACTAATTTCTATGATCAAGTTCATAGTTTTTATGTTACTTCACAAAATGACCAATAATGATTTTTATTTATTTATTTTTTTTTTTGTATTTTGAATGGGACAATATGCCTTTAAATTGTAGCTTCCATTATCCAAAAATGTATTTTTGTTATTTGTAGGAATGCATTGCTACCAGCTATTGGATGACATAAAGTATATTTCTTAGAACAAATATAATCATTTGAGCTCTGGACATAGAGGACTCATCATTAAACATGTCCAGTGGTGGCACTCAAAACACGAGCAATATGGATACCAGTAAGAACGTCACAAAAGCTACCACACAGGGACAAACCGTCAGTGTAGTTGGTAAGCCTGGACAAGTGGTAACGACGAGTAAAGGAGAGACCCTTGTGCTGTCTGCTCCAAATTTAACATCAAGTGCTGTTCCCGTATCACTGAACACTTCAAAGCCTGTGATCACAGTATCTGCATTGCCACCTGGTGCAAATTCACCGGCCGTGCAGGCTATTTTGAAACGGAGCTTTCCGACGATGGCACAAAATCAAGTTTTGACCAAAGTGATAATAACTAAAAACCCAAACACTAATAGAATTGTATCGGCCTCAGTTGCTTCAACTACACCAAAGTTAACATCTGCAATTTTACAGGCAGTTGACGGGAAAGTGTTAACACCGGGGTCACCAGTCAAGGTGGTTACTGTCACTCAGGGCAGTCTACTGAACACTAAGAACATTGTATTAACAAGCAGTGCAATGTCCCAGCTTATGGCTGCTCAGGCAGTCACCCCCAGTTCAACGCAGGTTAAAAGTCCTTTGAAATCAGTATCCACAACACCAAAGAAGATTGCTCCGGCCCCTCCAAGACCACAGCAAGTTATCATAAAGGGATTGGTATCAACGGCCAATACCATAGCAAAGACAACACCTTCAGTAACAACAGCAATAGCAAGTGGTGTTGTAAGTAGAATTATCTTTCATGGTTCTATGTTTCTACTCTTTTGTGTGTTTATTTTTTAATAACATTATTTAAAGCAAACACATTGTTCCAAACAGAGGAAAGCAAACACCTATCCTTGCTGTAGCTATCCTAAATGGAATTGATCTTGTTTCTTCTCTCTGTTCTTATGCTCTTTGTTTTTGTTAAAAACTTTTCTTACTCAATCCACTTTGTTCTTCTTTTCTTTAATATTTATTCTCATTCTCTCATGTTTTTCGCATCTGTATCATTCATGTTTTTACTCGATTTCCTTATTCCTCTTAACCCCTCTTTATCCTCAATATTTTCTTCTTATCCTTGATCTTTTTTCCTCGTTATTCTTATTGTTTATTTTCTTATCCTTCCTATCCCTTTTCTTCTCATTTTTTCTGTTGATGTTCTTATCCTACTGGTTTATTTTAACCTTTTCATTCACATTCTTTTCTTTCATCTCCCATATGGCTATTTTTTTTTCTCATCCTCTTCATCCGTGTTCTCACCTTGTAGCAAAATGCATCTGCAATTAGTAGTCTACAGCAAGCTGGCACCTCACTGACATTCACCAGTGCTGGCAATCTGCAACCCATTCAAGTGGCTGGCAACAAATTTCCGTACATACGTCTGGTCTCAGTGCCATCATCAACAATTTCAACAAATACACAAGGTACAGTATAGGAATTTCCTGCTTTATTATTGTTTTAATATATTTTCCTAGTGTTAACATGGCTAAAGAAGATAATTACAAAAGTTAATTACAGTAGGAAAAGGTAAAGTATAATATGTAAAGTGTGCCAACAAAGTTTTTGGAAGGAGATTTGGAAATGACAATATAAGTGGTACTAGTTTGAGGAAGCCTTTGTTAAAGAGTGGGTTGTAAATGACCAGAGGTCCAATGTACACATGTGGCCTGTGTGCACTTTAAAGAACCCTTTGCATCTTTCAGAAGAGTAAGGGGTTGCCCTGATGCTCTGGTTTATTTAAGCGGCTGTCGTGAAATAATGTGAGTAGTAGTAAGCACCTCTCTATTGCTGCCACAGAAGTCATTCACCACACCCTAATGCAAGAACAGCAAAATGCAATGAGGATTAATATGGTAACAAAAAAAATGATGACAGTGAAGATCATAACATACTGAATTGTTTATTTTTTAAAGCTAAAAATATAGTACAACATGTCTCTGGAAATAAAGTGATACTGTCAAATGCAAGTGGTCTTCTGCCTCAGCAATATCAAATGCAAACAGTACCAATTGCACCTGCAACACAGGTCAGTGTAGCCTCTTGTTAGTAATTACAGTGTTTTTTACATGGTCGCTGCAGATTTAAATGATTTGAAGGCTTTGAATGAAGTTGTGAAAAATGCTATACACTACCCAGAATAGAGGGATTTTGCAATGATTGTTTACTTGCGGTCACGTGACCTAACTTGGGTATACATAAACAAAAAAAACACCATTCCTATAGGAAATTTCATTCCATATCTTGCGTTGTCATTTGAAAATACACAGTTCATTGAACTTTTTGTTTACTTTAGGTCCAGCATGCTCGGACTGACTTGACTTACATTCAGGTCTATCTGACAGCATTGTCTTTAGTTCATTGATGAAGCATCCAGTGTAATCTTTAAGTAGATCTATATGCGTTTTGGCCAGTCTCCCCAATTTTTGTTTAGTTGTGTGTTTTTTTCTGTTATACTTTTTGTAGTGTGTTGCATGTTTTTATATAAACAGTTCTTTCATTTCAGTGTTGTTATTGGTCAGAAATGCTCAGTGTCAAGTTTCATGTGACAAATGTCATGTGGCAAGTCACAGATATTTGTCATATAAAACACAAATTGTCCCTTTGTACTTATTATAACATGCAAAGGCTATTTGTTTACTTCCTACAGATTGTAATGAAGTCGACGGCATCATCCACTACAACAACTGCCAAACGAATGATTATGCCAAACAGGCCACTCCAGATCCAGCCCAACACAGTCGGTGGACAATTACCTGGGAAAATTAGCATTCCAGCGGGGACAACGCTCTTGGCAGGGAACAGCATTCCCCAGAATATTGCTGTTTTACCTTTACAGTACATTGCACCTGTAAGCAGGATTATTGTTAAAAGTTTTTTACATATGAGGCTTATCATCCCAAAACCAGCATTAGTGACCAAATCATGAAAGTTGACTATTTAATATATTCATATTTTCCAAACAGTAAGCTTAAAAATGATGTCATTTAATGGGATTGACTTACTATTGCCAAAGTTATGAGTAAAGGTTTTATGGCTTCTAGGTACTGAAGTATATAAAACTGCCGAATTCTTATGCTAACTACACAGGTTTTTGAATGGCAAGCCTCATATTTTCTTGTTGTTGTAGACACTGTATTACCAACAGTGATTAACCTGAAACTTCTTGTGATTGAACAAATCATGTTTTATGTCAGACAGTGCTTTTTTTTATATTTAATCTATATTTTTGTCATCATATTTTAGGTTGGGCAGCAGTCTCAAAATTGCTCAACGTCATCATATATTCCAATTTCAACCAAGGCACCAACTACAGCAGGGCCACCAGCTGTTCGGCACAATGTCAACGGGTGAGTTAAATACAAGTGATTATCTATCACTGTGGCTTCCTATAAATCTGTACTGTTTGTGTGTCAATAGTAGGGCCTTTATAGCAAGGTTAGATTCACTAGGTTCAACCTATAGCAAGGTTAGATTCACTTGTGTTAAGATGTCTATGATTTTGGTAAAAAAAAGCTTGGGAAGTCTTAACATTTAACTTGTGTCATTCATAACATTTTGTCATGTACAGTTAAAGTTGCTGAAGTTGACTCTGCCTAACTCGAATAATTTCCAAGTCGATAACGGTAAAGTAATGCAAGTTTTTGAAAGATTGTATGAGTAAGCAGCCCTGATAATGGTTGCAACAATCATTTCATTATGTTGGATTAATTTGTCAATGTTACATTTTTTTTTTATGATAGCAGCAGTCAACCAGAAGCACCAGGGACACGGCCTAGGAAGCCATGCAATTGCACAAGATCTCAATGTTTGAAATTGTAAGTAGATATGTTACTATCACTATATTTCATTTTCATTTGATTTATTTCGTCCAAAAAACATTGAAATTGACAAACACAAGATTACAGAGAGCAAAAAACGAAACTCAGTTGGCCGGACAGGATTGCTAAAAAGTGAACTGAATTACTGTCTAGTGGCTCTCCGATGCCAGTGAGAACATAGAATTAAATTAACATAAAATATTCTAGAAAAATAGGCCTATCAATAAAATTTAAATTTAAAAATATACATGTACAAAATCATCAGTGAAATCGGTCAATAGTTAAAGAGAAAAAACATAAAAGAAAAACTATCTAAAAGAAAAACTATCAATCATGTCACATCTTTCCTTTTCAGACATGTAAAGGCCAACTCAGACAGCGTCGTACGACGCAGCCCGACGCGAGTTGTTGTCGTGTCGGGTGTGTGTGAGTTAAACGCAGACGCGATGGCAGTCGCATCGTAGAATATTAAACATGTTTAATATTTCTCACGACGGCTTAAAACTGTCCCCGACGATAAATCGAGTTGGGCTGCGTCGGTCGACGCTGTCTGAGTTGGCCTTAAGACAACAATCCACCTTGTTACTCCAAAGTCTTATCAATAAGGGGCTTGTCATACCAAAACCAGTGTTAGTGACTAAAACAAGAAAATTAACTTTTTAATATATTCATATTCTCCACATTATAAGCTTAAAAATGATGGGTCATTTACTGGAGTCAACTAAATAATAAGTTATGAGTAAAATTTAACAGCTTCTCTGTACTATAGTATGCAATACTACCACATTCTTATTAGTAATAACTGAGTTTAACATTTAGCGACAGTACGCTGGTTTTGGGATTACAAGCCTCATCTATATCTATTAAGTAAAAAAAAAACTCAAGTACAGTAACATTTGGAAGTTGGATTCGTCTGTCAGATTTTTTTTACTATTAGGGAGTGGGGGAAGAGGTTGGCCTTCTAAATTGAGAACAAATCTGATTTTTTGTAATGCTCATGTGCCTTGCTCTGAATTATTTGCCTCTCAGATACTGTGACTGTTTTGCTAATGGAGAATTCTGTAGCAACTGTAATTGCAATAATTGTTTGAATAATTTGGCTCATGAGGATGAGAGAAGCCGAGCCATTCGCTCGTGTCTCGAGAGAAACCCACAGGCTTTCCATCCGAAGATCGGTAAAGGACGAGGAACTGCCGGGGAAAGGCGGCACAATAAAGGTTGTAACTGCAAGCGCTCAGGCTGCTTGAAGAACTATTGCGAATGTTATGAGGTACAATAAATATTTTATTTATATTTACATGTATTTTAATTTAACTGATATGATATTAGGCCAAATCATGAATATTCATTCATTGGGAATATTATAGCTATTTCTATGCTAGGAATTTTATTGTTTAATATTGAACCTTAATTTTGCAATTCCCTCAATTCTCAGGCAAAAATACTCTGTTCATCAGCATGTAAGTGCTATGGTTGCAAGAATTTTGAAGAGAGTCCTGAACGCAAGACTCTGATGCATTTAGCTGATGCTGCAGAGGTCAGGGTTCAACAACAGACAGCAGCCAAGTCAAAACTGTCACAATTCCAGGACTTTCCATCAAAACCGCCGATCACAAACGAGTCTGGTGAACGGTCAGTTGTCTTGCTTCATTTGTACTAAATAATTTTTATTGTGAAAATGCATTCACATTATGATGAATTTTTTTGTATTAAATCTTTTCTTCAGGCTTCCATACTCATTTATAACAAACGACGTGGCCGAGGCCACCTGCCAGTGTCTTTTAGCGCAGGCAGAGGAGACGGAGAGGAACGGAGGTGCCTCAAACATTGGGGAGCAGCTCATCTTGGAAGAGTTTGGTCGATGTTTGAAGCAAATCATAGAGTCGGCAGGAAAAACGAAAGGAAACGGTAACATGTGACCATGTATCAGCACCCAGAAAGGAAGATGAGTGTGCGTTCATGCATGTCAATTGAAAGGCATTTATATCACTGCCACGAACTGCTTTAATAAATGACACCAATTGGCAATGTGGCAGCAAGGATATTCAAGCAAGCGTGTTTAGCTAGGATGAAAGCAGTGATTGATTGACCCCCCAGCTATGGCAATAATTCATGACACATGGATCTTCATGTAAACGTGTTGAGCTTCGGATGTAGGCATCAAATGATTGATCCTCCAGCGATGGCATTAGTATTAACAGCACAGATCTTCAAAAAACATCAGTTTGGAAATAAGCATTGATTGATCGATCTCCAGCAACAGCATCATTTATGACTGGATGGATTACACATTGAGCTTGGAGGCCGGCATCATTTGACTGATACTTCAGCAATGTCTCATGACTCCATGACTTTTAAACAAACATAGTGCTTGAAGGTTTGCTTCGATTGGTTGATCCTCCAATGATGCATCGTTTAGGACATATTGATGCAGCTAAGAACTACATGAAGTAGCATTGCTAAGCATTTAGATGACCTCATTCTCATTCCTGGTAGAGGTGAATACAGTAGTATATTCAACTGGTATGAAATAAATAAAGGATCCCAAATGACACTTTCCTGGGGTGATGTTGGTTGATTCTTGCTTGGTTAAAATTCACTGCCATTATCAAGTTTGCAACACATGGCCAAGTAACAGCTTTATTTTAACCTACAGCATCTTACCTGAAGCTTATTTCCTAAATTACATATGTTATTGTTATACAATTTGTTGAAACACCACTGAAATCAGGTAGAGTAATTAGATGTAAAGACGAACTTAGCGTGGCATTATTTAATAACAGTGATACTGCAGGAATTTTTGGTATGTATATGTATCACAGTTACTGGCCTTTTTGCCTGTAGCTATGGTGCCCATTCTCAAGTGGGTTGGATCTGTGGTTAGGTAGTCAAGTTCCCACCTTCCAACCCAATGGTCCTGGGTTCACTCCTGGTGAAATACCTTTTTCACAACCAACAGCAACTTCTCTAACCCCAAGCTTCAAAACTTAGTTAGTGGAAAGCATTAAGAGTCACAACATTATTAGCTTGCCTAGGTGGACCACCCTCATTCAATAGGGTGTAAACAAAATTAATATATCTTTCTTTTTTTTTTTAAATAATAGTCATTATTTGGTTTACAATTTAAATTAAAATGTTAATATTTTAAAACTATTGAGTTTATTATCTGGTATGGTACTTAATTTTTTGCCTCTTAAAAAAAGCAAAGCTTTTAATTAATGTATGCTATACCACTTATTTAAATTATGTACATAAAATTCATTCAGTTTTTATAATTGTTCCCATTATTACACTAAACTGCTATTACTCGTATTATTTTGCATTGAGTGATTCAGGTCTTTTGAATGAATATTCTTAGACTCATCAACCAATCTCACCACCATCTCTGTTATATTCAATGAACCTTTCCAAAATGACCAATTAGGAATATTCAGTAGGCATGTACTGCAATATGTGCATGTTCCACGAACACAATCCACAAGACTGTCCTAATTCGACGTGCTGCTGTCACTAGGCTAGACCTAGATTGTTTTATAACTTACAAACTATTTGAATTCCGTAGAGACATTGTGCTTTGCGTAGCAGCAGTGGCTAACCAATAATCAACCGGCTCATGTTTATGGGAAAGGTTCTTTGGAGAATTCAATTGCTTTAATCTTAGCATTCTTAATGTTCATTTAGTGGTGAAGTCTTGTGTCAATAGTATAAATGTTTGTTGAATGTTGAAAACATCAGTTGATCTATTGTTCTTATATTTATTTAAAGTCTAAACATTAGGTCCCATTTACACTACATCGACTTAGGGTCATAAGATGTCAAATGGTGATGGTGAACTACCAGCTTCTAGCTACCACCAGAATGTCACAGACGAATCTGTAACTGCAACCATCTTATATTCGGCTACGCCTGTCTCTTATACACATCATTAGCATGAGAATGTGGCAGCATTATATACTTTAGTACCTTTTCTCATAACTTTGGTAAAATTAAGTCAATTTCTAATAAATGACCCTTCATTTTAATGTGGAGAATATGAATAAATTAAAAAGTCATTTTGCATTTGTTTGGCCACTGATGTTGGTTTTAGAATGGCCTGCCCCATATTGTTACCAGCATTCAATATCTTTTTTCCTCATTAGATAACACCATTCATAGTGTTTTTTGCATATGCCTTCAATTGGCTGTAATCAGTTTCAGGATTTTTTATGGTAAAATGTCTGTAAATTAAGGAAAACCTAATTGTTTTGAGGTATGCTCATTAAAAGTTGATAACTTAATTGTTGTTTTCATTAAATTGTTTACTTTTTGCCACAGACTTTTCATTAATATGATGAAGGAACATAGTGGTATGATATTTATAAGACAAAAACATTTCAATATATAATTTGCTTTTGCACATTAACTACTGAAAATTTATTTTGTGTTATTGTAATTTTTATTGTTGGCAATTGTATGCATTGCATACTGATGTTAATAACTTGTATTATTGATGATTATTATTGTCATAATTAAACGTTGAACATCCAATTATTCAGTTTCTAAGTTAGGAAGTAAGATAATGCAATTGAATATCCTTATCTACCTGATAAGAAAAATAACAAAGGTTATTATTTTATCAATAATTCATATAATATTGGTTTTATTCATATCTTTTTGATTGGTTGGCCAATAATTTTGTTCAAATAGTCATAACAGTTGAGTAAATGAATTTAAATGTTTTGTAAGCATGAACTTATAATTTAAGTCTTATTAATATTATTTATCAAATACTTGCCTCCTTATCATATCAAATAATTATTCTTTTTTATATGGAATTTAAGTGTAAACAATGTTTCTTACTTTTATGTTCACAGTACGAATCCCTTTTTACCCACGACGGAGCATTATACAGTATGTTAATAGGGAAAAGATTTTGATGAAAAAAGTTGTGAACAAATTTTGTGTAAATAGACATGAAACTATTTGAGAGAACCGAAAAATATTTTCTGTATAACGACGAGTGTGAAGACGAAGGACGCTGCCGTGTAATGGCAAACATTCTAAGCTCCTTTGGAGTTGATGAATTTTTATTGTAAGAATCGATTTTGTAGAATTGTATATTGTACATATATATGACTAAATATGTACCAAAACCTGTATAGTCTGATATGGTGACGTGGGTTGTGACTAGACAGAATTGCTGTACTATGGAATAGATTATGAAATTATTACAAGAAAATTGTTTAGTGTTTTTTGTTTATTTATGCTGTTCAGTTTTGTTTGAATTTACCTATTGTGAAAACATTACGGTAACTCCAGACATGTGTGCAGTGTTTGGTGTGATAGTCTGTGAAGATAGTTTATTTGTGTGGTTGTGACTCATGTGAAAAAAACAGCTAAGACTGCGCAGGTTAACATAAGATGTCAAATGGTGATGGTGAACTACCAGCTTCTAGCTACCACCAGAATGTCACAGACGAATCTGTAACTGCAACCATCTTATATTCGGCTACGCTTGTGTAATAGAAGAATTTGAAAAGCTTAATTGAGGTCCGGATACGTCTAATTTGAGATGGCTTGAACATGATTGAATCTGATATACTACAGAATGTATAGGGAGAGTGTTAAAGTAGTTTCTTAGACCTTGTTTATTTAAACTACAATATTGTAATATACAGTTAAAATCTCGTGAAAATTTAGTGTTCACCCATTCTAAAGGCAAATACTGTAGTCTTATGGATGCTAGTTTGTTTTATGACGCAGTTAAACTTTGGAACTCGCTTCCCAGCTTCGGAATTTCCCACCTCGTATCCTCGTAAAGATGATAAATGCAATATAAATAATTTTCTCCCTATAAATATTGTTTTTTGTACTGTTCCTGTTTTTGATTTTTATTGCATGTATAACCCACAGCTCGTTAATGTTGATTCTTATTTTAAATATGTTGCTAACAAAAAGCCACAAAGTCCATCGGTGAAAAATCGTGAAATAATGTGTGTATACAGTATACACACTGGAGACAGTCGTCTTACTACTATTTGCGTTAAGTTCACGAAGTTCTTTAATCTGCAGAATGGTTTCTTAAATTCTTTTCATAGTCTTGATTCGAATGATTGAATCAATGGAGACGGCACAGCTGATGAAGTTTAATGTTCCTGCACGGAATTATAATTTAAACGCTACGCAAACCGATCTTCTTTAATTTCATTAGTAACGCACGGCGACCGAATTTGCGAGCTTGGCACGCGATGATTAGCATGCAAAGATCTATTTGTTGATTGACTGATTAAATCGTATGTTTTACTACATAAATTGGGAATAACACATTGAGTTCATTTTCAAGCACTTATCGAAAGGAAACATGAAAATAACGGAGAAACGGGAAAGTAATTGGAAGAAGATTCCAATTCTTTGTTGATTACTTAAATTGATTGATTATAAAGTGGCAGTCCCAAGCGATTTATCAATGAGCCCGCATTTATCATTCATTGAATGACGAAGATGTAAACATCTCGCTCTAGTCTGTGGCATAATCATATAGCATTACTGAAAGACGGCGTAGAGTCTCGATCCTGTCTTGTTCAAATGCTTAAAATGAGCGCTCATCATATCGATCTCTGTTATTTGCGGTGTATCGTAATCGCTGTTAACAACTGGTGTCTTGCCGTCACCGTCGTACAGAAGTACAGTATACTGTGCTTTTGAAAACATGGTAGGTGCGTCAGGGTGGAGCCGATTATTTATATATAAAAAATTAAAAGGCAAAATATTAGAAATAACATTGGAAGACAAGGCTATCAGTTAAAATTAGAAATAAAATGAAACGAAGGATTAAGCATGGTCGTATCTCCCATCACCTACGTCGTTTCTGCAAACTGGATTTGTTGTTTTCGAGTCAGCAAACTGTCGTTCGGCAAACTGAGTTTCTGCAAAGTGGACCCGGTAATCTGGCATTCGACAAACCGGGTTTCAACAATCTGGCCTATAGACCCGTTCAACTACGCATATGCAAAAGAGTGTAAACAATCAGTTGCTTTAATCGGAATTGAATTTCCAAACCCCAGTGGCCTAGTTGGTTAAGGCGTGTGCATAGACAGCAGAAGGTTCGGATTTGAATTATTTACATTATCATTTCGTGACTTCGAGTGTGTACAAACCTCAGCCAATTGTGTTTATAATGGTCTAATGTGCTCTTCTTCAGTTGATACAACTAATGTTTAAAAGACATGCTTCAAGTACGTGTTTAAATTTTATTTATTTATCTAATTTTAAAATATAACAATACGCTGCAATGTACTGGTAATAAAATAACTCAAACAGACAGGATTTAAACATTTGTAATTTACAAGACAAGGAATAATTTTTAATTACAATTGTACCACACCGTACCGATATTCTACGAATCAATAGTTATTGGAAATGACGCAATCAAATATTGAAGAAATGTATATAACTAATGTTTGTGTTATATTTTAATTCTTTTATTAAATCTTGTTCTTTACTCACTCCCTCCCATTCCATTTTCTTTCAGTACTCTTTGGCTCCCACTGAAAAAAATCGGTGGGGGTTCGTGGAAACGTTATACCCGTACTTTATCAACGGTGCATTACCATTATACTTTAACGTCTCGGAAGTATCTCACGTCCGGGGGTATAGGTAGTGAGGCTGGGTTTAAACTCTCGTTATTGATATTCAAAATCAAATATCTGTCTTCTTATAAACATTTTTTTTCTATTATATATTGGTTCGTTTTTTTTTCTACAAATGCCTAAAACTTTCTAATTTGACATTCTTTTAACAGAACATTATATCTAAAAGTATTTTACTTGTACAAAGATATATGAAGTTTATTCCAACAATTAATTAAATTATAATAAGTTAATTTGAGCAGTTATACATACAATTTCAGTTTACTCTAAATGAGCCTGCCGAGGACAATACTAACAATTAAAGTGTGCATTTGCACCGTTTAAATTCTAGGCAATAATTAATTGTATTTCAACATAATTTTATTCACAATAGCAGCACACAGGCTACGTGCATTACTTTTCACCAATCAGCTACTCAGAATGCAACATATTAATTTTATACAAAACGCATCACGTTCACAGTTATTTTCACAAAATGAGGTAAGAAATCTCAAACAGATTAGTACAAAACCATAATGTACCAATACTGCTCAAAACATAGGCTCTGCATAGGAAACATCATGTCCACATAGATTGTATATTAAAACGTTTCCATTAAAATGCGCCGCCTCCAACAAGCGTTGTAGATTACCATGGTAATAGGGACACGCGGACTACATACATCCACAAGATTCGACTTGCATGTTGGGATAGTTCCGGAGTAAAACGTTCATTTCTTCGTCCAAATACAAAATGCTGATTGATGACATTTTTGTCGGTACGCAGCACGGTGCCGGCACTTGCACTCCCATAGATTTCACCATGCTCAGTATTAGTGCGTTGTTCGTAGGATTAAGTGACTACAAAGAAAGTAATATCAAATAAAATAATTTTATAAATAATGTAGGTAATTGCTATTATATTTTAAGTATGTATATATACAATTAACGGTATCAGTTCGTCCAAGACAACAGGTCGAAACAAAATTATTATTTATTTATCATCTTCATATTACTGTATATCATAGAGAGAGATGTTTTTATATCACGTGACAGTAAGCCTTGACTGTTGATAAAATTATAATCAAATATTGAATACAGTTTTGACATCATCATCACAATCATCATCATCATCATCATCATCATCATCTTCATCATCATCTTCATAATCATCGAGAGATATTGTCACGTAACCGTAAGCCTTGAATGTTGATTTTAAAATTCACAATCAAGTCGTTAATATTGGAAACAGTGTTTTTTATATTATAAATATAAAATTTGTCCGTAAGGTCAGCTTTCCATAAAATTGCTACAATGTCACTGCAATCGCTCAATTGGGAAAGTTCCCCGATTCAACTGACTGACCAATCAGCATCGCCGACAGCTGTGGCGATAAAGTGTAGCGATTTTATGGAATCCACCACTTACGGTACCACTTACTTTTTGAAGTGGATATGGGCACGATCCAGCACAGTAATTGGGCGTAAATAATTCTGGTGCAATAACGAAACTTTCCCAACCAAGATCCTTGAAGTTAACACTAAGCTTTCGGAGCGAGCAGAGTCCCTCTGTGTTTTTGTAGTCCTCATTTTCTGGTTTTTGCAAATGCACTATTTCATCAGCTTTGTTTGATAGGGGTGTTAAAGGTTTAGTCGTTTCCTGGCCGAATGGAATGACGCCATTTTTACGCCTGTTTTTGCGCCTCTTGGTGTGTTTTCTCTCTTTTCGCCGCCTGGAATTCTGATCGAGAAAGGCGGGAAATTTAACTTCTGGTGACGGGACAACTTCTACAGGTGGAGCAGGCGGGTACTCATTTGTCATTAAATATATGTAATGATCTGACTCGTTGATAGGCTTTGGTTCAGGGAGAATAACGCTTCTTCTTTGTCGACTGTTGATGGTGCTTTTCATGGTGTCTGATAATCGTTGGAAAGGCATCGATGTCAAATCAGCGTCTACGGCTGTGTCTTCGACGTGAACAAGAATAAATGGTCGTCCGCGCTTCTGTAACATTTTCTTCTTAGACATCAACCTATCCCACCAGTCGTTTTTATGATCAATTTCGTTATTTTCATCTGATTTTCTGTTCCTTATCTTGAAGGATACTCCTAATACTGCCCTCTTTGTTAACCCTTCGGACAGCTGCGAAAGTATTGTTTTGATGTCTATTTTTTGCCACCCATCGCCCTCAAAGTCATCTATTCCGAATGTTCCTACTTTCAGACATTGGTTCGGATTCTGTACATCGTACACAACAATGACCAATTCGCTCATACCCGTATTGTTAAACTGTGACGGCTGCAGTGGTTTACGGTTGTTGACATAAAGCTCGGCTTTAATAATATTTTTCTTCTCACTCTTCGGTTTTAACTTCAAAACGAACATGTGCTTTTCTCCGCAAGTAGATTCTGCAAGAAAAAAAGAAAGTTTATGTAATGATGTTTATGTTTTGATTTTCACAATTTGTACATAGTCTTTTTCGGAGTGGATAAATATGGTTTAAATTGAATAAAAAATATTTTTCCCATCTGGTTTTTCTTCAAGTTTCAATAAAATGTGTTATGGATCGCGGTATGATGTTCCTGAATAATTGCAAGCACATGATCCGTATGCAAACCAGGTGCTGTATTATTGGCCAATGCTATGAAACAAAAATTGGTTAAGGTAGCAGAGCGCCACCAATGTCAAATAAAAGTTGTACTGTTGCTAAATGTTGAAGTTTTTTTTTGTTTTTGTTTTTTTTTGTTTTTTTTTTTTTTTGCAAACGGTTTTTTAACATCTGAACTAAAAAACTTTTTAACGGGATTACATATCACTTTCCGTAGCTTAATTCGCGATTATAACTCTTACTGAAGGCACGTTATTTCTAATGACTGAACCTGCACCATCGAGAGGTTCACACAGATACGTTGGCCCCTAAAAATCATAAACCACGAACTCTAAAAATAACAGTTGTCAAACGTTTGATTGAGAAGAAAGCAATGAGCGGGTTGAGGTTTTGTTGAGTTCTTATCTAAATCTATCCACAGGTGTGATACCTAGTAATTTGAAAGTTACTAAATGCTCAGGTGACAGGCTGTTGTTCTACGTTCTTGCTAGTTTAATAGAATCAGGCAAGACATGCGAAAGTTCTAACTTCACCATGGATGCTCTCGTGGGAACTCTTTTTTGGTGGGTTTTTATTTTAGCAGAAAAGCGCATAATTGATGATGCACCTTGCAAGAACTCATAGAAACCAAAGCTGTCATAAGTAATAGGAAGGGGACCATGATGGTACTTTGGCGCTCCTTACACTTATGATAAAGACTCTTATTTAGCGGTTAGGCTTATTATCGCCTATCACGAAACGATTTTAGGAAATGGCGGGTAGAACAGCTGAGGGATCGATCAATAATAAGTGACTTTATACGGGAATGTGTTATTCAGAAAAAGAACACATCATAATGTATAATGAATTATTTTTACGAGATAATGAATTTTGTAGACGATGAGTTGTCAAGATATATATAAACAACTATAATGAGTCGAATGATTTATATATTAATTACGACATAACCTAGGTATACTAATCCGGAGTGTCAATCAACCTTAACAACTGACCAATCATAACGGGGCCATGAATACGCGCGTGCCTGACAAACATACCATACCTACGTGTTGCCCCACAACGCACACGTTTTGCGCGGGGATCTTAGCAACATTGGGCGGGGGCTTAGCGGAAGGTCCATTAGGTCTATGGAGTTACGAAGTAATAGCTCCATAAACTTTAAGCCAGACATTTTCAGATAACCTTAATGATGTGATGATGATGAAATGAACCAAATCATAGATAAGCTAGCAGAAATATATGGCAATCTATGTTAATTAACTCGCTTTTAGGTTTGTTAGGTGTTGTTATTTAAGGCGCATTAAATACGCATGCGTCCGTAGAGCATGATAAACAAGAATCGATTGGTAATTTTGTCCTTTAAAGTGAAAATATAAAGAAATCGCTACAAATACAAAAGGCAATTTAGATGTAATCAGTGTAGTTCAGCCCTGTGAATAATCTATCACAATAATTGGAACAATGTGGCGATGGTCTTTGATTGATTATTCGTGCCCAACGGACACCCAATCGAAAGCAAGTAAATATCTTTCCTATTCGATTTCCATTCTTTCTAGAGTAATTTTCAGGTCCCTCGTTGAACTTTCAAGGGGTTCAGAATAAAAAATTTTAAAAGGGTCAATTTGTGGATGCCCTAATTTACAATGAGATCACTACAGATCTATTTTTGCGGAGGTTTTCCTAAATTTTAGCCTGTTCTTTATTATGTGTTGCCCGGTGAAGGTTAGACCTGTTAGGCCTAGCCCGCATGATGCTGGTGTAACGGAAATCCTGCCCTCTGAGGCACTTTGTCGTGATGATACCGAACCAGAATGGTTAGTTTGGCCTAGGTCTGGTTTACGTCAAAGACTGTACTTCTCCCATCGAAAAGTTCAAGTGCGTGTCCGTCAGAACACAACTATGATTAACGTTAATTAGACTTTGACTTTTAATTAGGGTTGTTGGCGTTATTATAATTGTGGCCAATTTTTTTAAATGAAAAAAATTATATTGAATTGTGGATATATTTTTTTTAGAACAGCAGTTTAAATATAATAATCATTTTAAATTGGTCTTCAATAATCATCTAAAAAAAAACAACGTCAACATGAATTAAGATTGTGAAGGAAACTTAACTGTGCAAGTGATATTTTGTTCCCGATTGCCCTTGATATGTATAAATTCATTAATTCTTTTTTTATTATTATTATTATTATTATTATTATTAATTCTTCTTTTTTAATAGTAGCAATAGTAGGCTATTAGTATTAATATTATTCATATTAATATTAAATTGCATAGAGAAGTTTGATATGCGCTATATAAGTATACAATAATAATAATTATATTATAATGATTATTTTAATTTCCAGTATTTTATTTTAAGTTTATCATAATCATCGTTGTTATTTGTTATGTGTAGGTAGGTCCTATTTATTATTAGGGGTTTAGTAACTTATTATTCTTATTACTTTCATTATTTATTACGATAATGTGTATAAGCATGATATTATTCATCGATCTGCGCATGCTCGGGCAATATGATTACCGGTATTATTAAAGTTCTAACAAAATGTGCTGTCAACGAATGCTACTACAGTCACGTAATATACTGTCATTTGAACCTGGGTATGTACTTTCGATTTGACACACAAAACGTTAATCTGCTGCAGATTCAACCTAAAAAACATAGGCCTAGTAGAAGATCACATGCGCACAAATTCTATACCGTATTGCTTTCTAAGAATTTTGTATATTTTTTAACATTTCTTTAAAATCCATAAACAAGCATAAAACACACAAATAGACCTTTCTGGGATTTCAATAACACATAGCCACTGACAAATCAGAACTATGGGCCAGGAATACGCGTATGTCCTATCAACACTCATCTTACGTATGTTTATGCTGTCGTTTTTTGGGGCCTTAGCAACAAAATTCAAAGAGCGCGTATTCTGACTTGATGAATCTGTCGTCCCTGAACATTTACCTGATTTCCGAAAGTTTGTGTGCAACCTGAGAAAAATGTGCAAATGAATCGGGAAAACAGAGGAAGCATACAGAATTATCGATGAATCCCGTGAGAAGAACACTGATAAGGAGAGATGATAGCTGGAGAAATACGTTTGGAAAAGTGTTTATGATGAGGGTAAGCTACATTACTGTAACGGCAGTAGATTCAGTAAAACCGTAAATTAAAATCACTCATTATCACCGTGAATACCCACAGGCACGTACACACACTCCCAGTAGCGGAAGAGGAGGGGCTACACAAACTCAATCGTCCGACATTATTAGGCCTAATTTATATTATTGTGAATAATTTAATAATACAATCATTTATAAAGAAAAGAATTGTGCAAAAAAAAAAAACAACTTTGCGATGATGATGATGATTGCGATGCCTGCTACTCAGTAACGATGTTTTACGCCAGTAGCATTAGGCTTGGTAGGCTACCTATTAGAAAAAAATACCAACAGTTGATAAATAAATGATTAAATGACGTTTGAATCAAATTATCATATCTTCATTGTAGTAGCTGCGAGCTTAAAATTAGTTTCTTTTTACTGGAACTGTTTACCGAAAAAGGGCTTCATCTCTGCCGCTACCAAATTCATTTCTCTACTATGTTTGTCTCTTCGTATTAAAATCAACTTTACAACGGTTCGCCACCTGCCAGGAGGCATAAAAATGATACAGTATTCAGACCTTTTCCACCTGACCGCAAGCAGGCGACTAATGTAAATTTAAGGTAAACTAAAAGTGCTCTACACTTTATCGAATAAGAACGCTAAGGGAACAGCTTTTGGTAATCTTGAGTCAACTTTTGGCAGGGTTTGTTTTTACCTGACGTTTGGTTTGTTTAATCTCCACTTGGTGGGAAATTAACGCAGACGTTTTGTTAGTTGATTGTCAATCAGAATTTTCTGCGGGTTTTATTTAATCGCTACTTTTTCGTGTTACGATGCTAAGCAGTGGCTTGATAGACCTACTGCGGTGCTGAGTCTGTCTACTTTTCCTAATTGTTCGATGGAATGATAAAATTAAAAGCTATTAAAGACCTGAGTGAAATGTAACAGGTGCTTATTTGGTTTTGTAACTTAACGATTTAAAAAAAAATTCAATGTGAACTTTTTGATACTGTACCACAGATCGTGTGATGGTATGTCATGTAATTCGTAGTAATCGATATAATGGAACAGTGAATCATAAAACCAATAGTTTTTACTTTATTTTGTTATTGATATTATTATTATTATTATTATTATTATTATTATTATTATTATTATTATTATTATTATTATTATTATTATTATTATTATTATCATCATTATTATTATTATTATTATTATTATTATTGTTGTTGTCATAATAATCATAATTATCATTGTTATCATTTTGACGAGAAAGTGTAGGCCCATAGTATGTCAAGTTTTATTTGCAGCTTAGAGAAAAGTGTTTACTGTATTGCTGCCAATCGTCACTCGTGGCGGAGACAATAACCCTAACTGTTATTGTTTGCATTATCTTATTTTGCTATTAAAAAAAAACAAAAAGAAACTAGTTATTTCTAGGAGTGATGTTTTTCCCTACCTGACATGTTATCCTACAGAATACTCAGTACGAAAAATTCCCAAGTTATCAGGGTGGGAATCGAACCACGACCTCCAGATAACTAGCCTGGTGGCACAACCACTAGGTCTACCGAGCTTCCACCTAGATTCCAATCCGAATTACTTGCGATTTGTTTTTGCAAGTATTTGGGAGCGTACCGGTACTGATTATATACCGTAACACATCACGTACCGGTATGGCAAAAC